TAACAAAGTTGTAATTTCTGAGTTTGATTTCGCAGGATTAAAAAATGTAATTATCAGTAACCGAATTTTCTCACTAATAACCTTTCCGCTACCCATTTTGAAAACCTTAACTACCCAAAACTATTTTAAACGTATTCTGGCAGCTGTGATTAATAAAAACAATTGTCATGGCTTTTATTTTTCACAGCCACCTATGCGTTATAGGCTTATTTAGCATTGAAATGAAAATAGGTTGATATGCTGTAATTGCAACATGTGTTGTTTTTATGCTGCAAATTTGATTAGGGAGTGATATAGTTGGTGTTTTCTACTATATATTATAAAAATATTCATTGTTAATATTTTAAACCTATAACACCCTGCTACATTTTTATTATTTGTGTTTGATAAGAAAAAAAACTAAGATTTCAATAGTTGGGCCAACTGAAGTGGGAAGGGGCTCGTATATGCCGCACACTCATTGTGAAACCCTGTGCAATGTGCAACTGCTGTTACTGATACGATAAATGAATCATAAAACTAGAATAATATTCTACCTTAGAGAATACAACTTGACTAGCTAACAGGAAGCTGATCAAGATCGTATTACCCGAATTATGTGGGAATACCGAACACGGAATGTTTATGACTTTAAAACAGAATTATGCTCTTAAAATCCTAACATGTCACTTACCTGACCGACTCTATACAAAGTAACAAATGCACTCACTATACTATGAAAACTAGAATGAAAATAATCAGAGTAAGCTTGTTTATTGATATTATCAATCTGTCAATATCTAATATAAAATCCATTCCAGTCTCCAGTACATTATACGAAAATACCAGATAAATAGGTGCTTGAGATACATCTTAATAATGAACAATGATAAGAGGCTGAGGCCGTACAAATTAGTGGCATAAACCTGTATACGTCAGGTAGCCAACCTGATATGGATCTAATGAATAAAAAGAAACAAGCCTAATTTGCATTTATTTAAGATTCTATTATACTGAATGACAAAAAAAGGTACGTACGTATGTTTATTAGAATTCAATAATTTTTTACATATCGATTTATCTTGCCAAGTGATAGAATTGTCAGGTCAAGTAGTGGAGCCTCATCTTATCCCATACCTAAACACTATCCAAAACCAGATTTTTCAGCAAGACAATGCCAGCCAAATGTTGATAGAGCATCGTTATCCTTCATGGGTCAACATAGCATCAGCCGTTTACCTTGGCCACCAAGATCGCCAGACTTTAGCAGCTCTTACTCACGAAGTTGCAGTAGCCTGGAACAACAGGATATCGACCACCTTATCAGCACGATGCCCAGGCATGTCAATGAGTGTATAAGAAATCGTGGACCCTCAACACATGATTGAACCAACTTCTGCAGTCAGTTGCCGAGTCAAGCTGAAAATTTGACCATTTTACTAGTAAAGGACACTGAACATATATGCCCAGAATTATGAAAATCGGATAAACATACGTAGGTGTTTACCTTCTTTATCACTCAGTATATAACAAAATACAGATAAGTTTAATGAACAAACAAATTTAGGTGTGATAAATATAAGTGTGAAAAAAGAAGCCTTCTTTGACTCCAGTGGCCAGATATTTATGATTGTAGGTAATCATATCAAAGTATCACTAACTTAGTCAATATTTTGTATAACGCGCATGATCGAGCACTGAAAACCCTCTGTCGAGAATACATGAACTGAGCGCTGTGATTTTGACTGAGTTCTGTTCTTTTAATATACAGGGTGTACACATTATGATAAATGGGTGATAGAGGAAGTCAAAGAAGCAAAAAGTTTCATATAACATGGGGTTCAAAACGGCATTTTTTAGAGAAAAGCGACTTTAAAGTAAAATAAAATCTGACAACGCCGCAATGCAGACGCAAATTACGTCGGAACGCAGTGTAAATAAAGATGGAGTTTGTTATTTTTGGCTCTTAGGTATTATTTCATTATTTGATAATGTACTCGTAAAATGCAAACAATTAAAGAAAAACGGACTTACCACTAACTGTCTCAGCGCTTCACCTGGTCTGTGAAAGTTTATTGAACGTGTAAAAAAAATCCACTTATAAATAGGGAACACAATTTTGATACATACTTTGTTTTTCTTGTTAAAACCCACACTGCAGTTTTTTTGTATTTAAGGAGGTGTTCAAAATGGCGTTCTCCACTTTCCACACAAGCTTCATTACGACGAACGCAGTTTCTTCTTACTCTAGGTCCTCGAAGTTGTCCATTTATTATTTCAGCCGCATTAAATTTTTTTTCGCGAAGTTGTGCTTCAGTTGTTCTTGGACCAGCCTCTCAAACCATTCCTTTAAGTTCTCCCCAATACCTAGGAAAACTTAATGCCATTTATTTGTCAATTACCCAATTTAAAAACGTTTTAGATTAGATTATAAAAATTAGTAAGATTGTGGTGATTGTGGTCGATATAAAGCACTTAAAGTTATAAACTATAAAGCCATTTATACAAAAATCTATTGACTTTTAGGCCATGGGTCATATGAACTTTTTAACTTGCTTTGACCCCCCCTATTACCCATTTCAATAATGACTACCCTAACGTTTACACCCTGTAGAATAAAGGATCGCACCTACTGAAATGTACTATAGTTTTTGAAACAACGCGGTAATTAGAATAAGAAAAAGTCTGACTACCAATTTCTTACTCTCTAAGGTCTCTTATAACACCCAGACGTGCCTTCAAATCGAATTCTAAAAGTACGTATTAGTTTCAAAATTACTTTTATTTTGCTCAATAATGCAGCTTTAGTAAAAAGAATGCTTCCAATTTAAATAATTTCATGTGGAGTTGCTTATAGTAATCTAAGATAGATTAACAAACCCAGGTGTCAAGAATCAGCGGACAGACAGGCAGACAGACAGACCGACGGAAATTAGTGGCATAGTTTTTTGTGATCTACGCCATATTATAACATCCAAAAAACAAATCAAAATTTATTGCGACTATAATACTTCATTGTCAGTAGGCGTGGGAAGTAAAAGGAATACCAGCTTGACAAAGGGAGATGCTAAAATATTTCCAGAGCTTACTGGCCCTGATACTGTTGCTGTTTGGAGGCAGATGTTAATAAATGGTCAGTCCTCCATCGTTCATATTTTACTACTTCCTGATGAGAATATAAATAGCAGTTTGTGGAGGCAGCTCCTGAAAGTAAGTGCTTCCTATTTTGCAATTCCGATAAGACAACGCTACGTTCTTCAGAGATTTGCTTTTTGTACTTTACAGAAGGATTTGAACTGTCAGAGAAGTGAGAAGGCTATCGAAAAGATCTTAGAATTTGAGCTTTCGCCCTCAGAATAATAAATAAGTTATACACCAGTCACTAAATACAAAAATTCGTTCCATGCGATCATAAGGCAGAATCAATTTATAGATATAGTCTTGATTGTAGAATATCTGCTACACTATTGGGATTTTTCTCCAGGGAAGTACATCGAAAAAAAAAAACAATTCATTGATACTTTTATAATATTTTTTACCCATTGAAAGGCCACTTTCCAGATTAAAAAAAAATGGGATCAAGATTGTCTCTATACTTCAAATAACTCCGAATCAGCTTCTACTACATATTTCCACGTAGTGTGATGACATCAAAAATAATTTTTGTTCAGATACATTAGTGCACTATTTGGGCTTTTCATGAAACAAACATTTTCTTACCGTAATGACCGTGTCCGTTTCAGTTCTTTGGAGGTCTGGTTCAAAACTGTCTGTCAACAATGGTTAACAGCTGATTGATGCTTACTTATTTACCAAACCTATATATATATATATATATATATACTTCGAAGTTGAGTCATTTATTTTAACAGTGAGTAGATCTGATCAAAAGAAATGTTTTTTCCTCTACCATTTTTCTGGTAAAATTAAAGTAACAAAGTTATAGCCCTTTGGAAGTTTGAGTACCGCCCTGTCTCAATAATAATATTATATGTATGTTCGTGTTTGGCGACAACGGATATAATCCGCCTGACCGGTTCATCGCATCGGAAACAAAAAAGCGAAAGAATTTGAAACGTTTATCACGATGTTTTTCGTCAGTCGATAACGCGTTAACGAATAGTGAATAGTGTTTGTTGCGTGGCTCAAACGAAATCAAAAGTGGCACATGTTTACGAAAATGCTGAACTTGTGGACATGATTCTTATTTACGGGGGGGCAGTCTTTACAAAATGCTCCCGGATGCATCACGGATTTACGCGAATCCCAATCGAGTGCAACCAACCCCTCGTGCCTTTGTTAATGTAGTACAAAGGGCTCGTGAATCAGGTGACTTAAGACCTCACAGGTCAGGGCATGCTGCTCCAAGACCGCACGATCAAATACAGGTCCGCACTGAAATACTTGTCGGGACGATACTTTATTAAACAAGGTAACATTTTTTTTTATTTTTTATTTTATTTTTACACACATATTTTGGTTTATCTTCCTTCTACAATCATTATCTGAAAATTAATGACTCAACTTCAAAGTCACCCTGTATATAGGTATATTCTTTATTCACCGGTTGATTTCATCACTGGTAGATCCGGTGAGCTTATGGTTGACAGCTGATGTGACGACGTCAGCAACCGGTTCCATTGTATGGTGGTTAATAAAAAAACGCATTTTTAACCTTCAGGTTGCTGTCATATGAGAAAACATATCCTTTGTTTTATCGTGAATAGATACTTGTAAATTTGATCTTCGTATCATTTAAAATCATTATGGCAATGTAAGTAGCAGTTGGTATTGTGGTGGAAGGTTTGTTAAGCGATTTGAGTGATGATTCTGATGAAGAAGTTATTCAGTGGAGGGAAAGAGCAAATTTTCAGATATGCATAATTCAAAATAAGATCACTTGCCTTCAGATGCTCTGTTTATTTCGAATTGCGTTAAAAAAACATTAAATTTCAAGCCACTCCTATGCTGTAGCATAACTTCAATCTTTTTTTCTTCCATTTTTTCACAAAAAACTGTAGAGGTTAGAATATCGTGGATCAACCGAGCCCGAATGTCGGTGGATGCTGTAAGCACTGGTGGCATATCCATCATCAATATAAAGACAAGTTTGATGTACTTGTACAACCGGTCGTTCCAGCGGAAACTAAAGGATGCAAAATTGGCTAACCGGTAAGCTCAACCGGTGAATTAAAGAATATACCTTTTTTTTACTATGTTATAATATTACCTCACGAATATTAAGCGACCTCATATTAAATCACACTCAAAACATGATGCTCGTATACTTATATAATTTCACATCAGTTTTTTCTTTGATGCTTTATTTACATTTACTATATGTTTACATTACATTCTTTGTCGCCAAAATTGCGTAGTTTTTGTGCAGACCTTTGATTCATCTACCTTCATTAGGTTTGTGCCGCTTTTTGAAAATTTGAAAGTATCATGACCAGATCACAATTATCTGCAAAAACTCGGACTTTTAGACGAATTTAATGAAAAACTGTAAAAAACTTGATATAAGTCAATTCATTTTGATCCTCATTGCAGACTATGAGAATTCGGAGACAAACAAATCCTTGACTGGCTTATCCTACTTAGTCTAAATTCGTAGGAAGAATCAGACATTATACACGTCACTACCGCTCCACCGCGGTGCGCTGTCCTGAAGGTACTTTCGCACTCATTCTGTGTACTTCACGAAGACAAGAAACCAGGAGATTATCACTGCTTGGGGACCCAACAATCTTGTATAGTTTAATACTTCCAAAACACAGAACTATACCTTGACGAAAAAAAAGCATCCTTGCGCAAATCCGGTTTCAATGAATTTGGGAGATCTGCCAAAGAGCTGTTTATTTCGACTGGTCGGATTCCAGAATGCTGAGCACTTGTTCTGGCACAAATACGTCTCGTCAATTGCGGCAGCTGCTGGGAAAATGCTAGGCTATTTGCTGAGGGCTTAAGTACTTTTCTCCGCATGACCTTTTCACTCTATACAACGCCTAGATAAGACCTAGCCTGGAGTATTGCTCACAGGTTTGGGAAGCTGCCGCCCCGACTGTATGCTCGATGCTATTCAGAGGACGGCTGTCCAACTGATCGATGACTCTTCTTCAATAGACAGTCTCGGGAACCTTTCTCACTGGTGCGGCGGGCCATCTTGCTCTCTTCTACCGCTACACCAATGGGCTTTGATCCTCGGAGCTCTCCTTCATGATGCCGCCGCGCGATGTGCCTGCCAGACAGACTCGCCTGACTTTCGTCTCCCACCCTACTTGAATCGAAATCCATACATCCAGAACTGGCCAATACGACCGCTCCTTTGTCCCTAGGGTATCGACAAGAGGAGGTTTTTTCCAGCTCTACACTAATCTTAGGCAGTCTAAATATCGTAGTAAGAAGCTTTCTTTGGGATCCTCATAGCAGCCACGGTGTCCTGGCAGGTAGGCTTCTGCCTGCGTGGCTGCTTCGGTGTAAAAAACAGATGGCGCAATAATAGTACATTTACACCGTGCGCTGTACGGTATACAAAGGCTTAGAGTAGCACTATAACCCTATTCGTAGTCCATTTACAAAGAACTTCATTTTGAGTACGGGGCAGAAATAGTATTTTAATAGACAAAAATTATTTAAAATCAATAAACAAATACCGCGGCCTGGGCAGGAAGTTTTATTACTGGGATGAAACCTGGATAAATGCAGGGCATACAAAACCTAAAGTATGGGATGACTCTACAATTAAATCAGCAAGACTTGGATGGACTAACCGCTGGCCTAAAGAATCTGTCAGGCACGTATATCTAACCAATTCGTCATTTGTGTCGTAAGAGTGGTGTCAAGTAGACTGAATCTATGAGCCCATGCTGAAAACTTAGCTACACTAAACTTAGCTACATCTGGTAGATTAGGAGCCAACGCCTGTTAGATACTCTGCTTGTATTATTATTAGTTTTCTTGAATACTATACTAAGTGACATATAAATCCGAACACAGAGTTTAAACGGTTTTATTTTAATAAAAGTTGGTGAATGTATTTATCTTACTGTAAATAACAAGTGAACAAATTTTCAGCCTTATCAGTTGGACATTCCGGTTTTTATACTGCTTTTTTTTAATTCACTAACGCTCTAAAAATGAATATTTCAGCCGCAGTAAAGAATCAACGTTGGCTGATTTTGGTTCTTGACATCCTTTATGATCGGTTACGATGCCTAGAGTACGGAGACCTGTACGATTTCGTCAACTTAGTGAGTTTGATAGGGGCCGTATAGTGGGACTTCGAGAAGCTGGACTTTCTTTTCGGGCAATTGCAGTTAGAGTGCGAAGAAGTGTAGACACTGTGGTTAGGTGTTGTCTGGCATGGCTTCGAGAAGGCCGTACGCAAAGAGCAAGGAGCACTGGACGCCGCCGTAGAACAACAGACTGTGAAGATCGCCGCCTAAGATTATTGGCCTTAAGGGACCGTTTCTCCACTACCAGGTCCATTGCAAATGAATGGTTTGCAGAACACGGAAGACCTATTGGCATGCGAATTGTTTACCGACGAATGAGAAGTTTTGGCTTGTTTTCATACCGGCCACACTGGGTCCTCCCTTTAACTCGAGAACACCGACGTAATCGCCTTGAGTGGTGCAGACAACGGTCACTCTGGGATCAGGAATGGAACAGTATTGTCTTTAGTGACGAGTCTCGATTTTGTTTAGGCATGCACGATGGTCGTGCCAGGGTTAGAAGGCGACGTAGTGAAAGGAGGAATCCACAGTTTTTTGTTGAAAGACATGTTCATCACACTGTTGGAGTTATGGTTTGGGGTGCTATAGCTTATGGTTCCAGGTCACCTTTAATCTTCATCAGAGGTAACATGAACGCGCAGCGTTATATCCACGAAGTTCTAGAACCCCATCTTTTACCCTATCTTGACACCCTGGCAGATCCAACTTTCCAACAAGATAATGCCCGACCACATGTTGCAAGAGTCACAATAGACTTCTTTCAACATAATGATGTCACATTGTTACCATGGCCACCAAGATCTCCCGACTTATCCCCAATTGAGCACGTGTGGGATATGATGGGTAGGAGATTGCTCAATTTGCAACGTCCTCCTCAGACTCTAGAAGCACTACGAGAGGAGTTGGTGGTTGCCTGGAATGAGATGCCACAGGAGGACATCGACCACCTGATCAGAAGCATGCCTAGGCGCGTTGGAGAATGCGTAGCACATCAGGGTGCATCCACACATTATTAAAGGTCAAAGGGCTTTAAAGCAGTGTAATCATTTTGAAATTATCATTTACTTATTATGCTTCATTAAGTACTTATGGAAAATTTTATTAAAATAAAACCATTTAAACTGGGTGTTCGGATTTATATGTCACTTAGTATATATGAATTAGTTATTCCCAGGAACAGAAAAACTATTTGTTATCTGTCACACTCATTGGCAGTGAAGATGGCAGATGGCACACTGCCCTATGGGCATTTTAGTCAAACAAAACAACCGACTACCATGAAGAAATGGATGGGAGTTCATTTTAATGATGGTTTGAAAAAACGCTCCCAAGGCTTGACGACAATGCCGTATTTATAATGCTGTATACCACACTAGAAAGCTAGAAAAAATTCCCACAATGCCCACTCGAAAGGCATAGTTTCAACATTGGTTCCTATCAAAAGACATTAGTTTCAATGAAAATAGGGTCAAAGCAGAACTTATCGATGAGACGTGAAAAATTTGTTTTATGAAGCTTTCAACAGAGTGACGGCAAACCATTGAAAAGATTGTATCCGTGACGTTTCAAAAGACATTAGTTTCAATGAAAATATGGTCAAAGTGGAACTTGTCCATCTAGTCAGGCAACACAAATATAAATATAATCTTAATTTTATTGACAAATGGCTGAAATCCAAAATAAGACCGTTTTAACGCTACCCTCTTATCACTGTGAATTAATTCCCATTCAAATGATTTGGGCGAATATAAAAAACTATGTGGCTTCAAACAATAGAACATTCAAATTTTCTGACTTGGAAAATTTGTTTTATGAAGCTGTCAACAGAGTGACGTCAAACCATTGGAAGCCATGTATAAGGGATAATTGACAATACGAGTTTTTCAATAGGAAACCCGATTTAAAAACATGGAGAGGTCAAAATGATGATCCCCCAGGGTCTCCGATGATGAATAGACCCAGCCAGAAGGAGAGAACAGAAATTACCAAGAAATCAAAGGAATTGATGACACCAGCTGTAGCAGACGAAAAGGACAGAACCATCCAGCGCCAGACCCTGATCATCGAAAGCCAGGCCCAGCAAATAAAGGAGCTGACTGAGACAGTTAGGGACCAATCAGTAAAATAGACTGCCTGACCACCCAGGTAACACAGTTAATCAATAATGCAAATTTTAATTCTAAATCTGACAAAGCTGACAATTTAAAGACCTCTTGAAAATTTAACTGACGTGACATCGACCGACGATGAAATACAGAATGACGGATTCATACAGGCCAAGTCTAGGAAAAGACGCATCGACAAAACGAACAAAACCGACAAGACGGATGACTTCCCACCTCTTCCAAAATCAAAATCAAAATTGACAGTCTCCTCAAAACCTTCTGCTTCATTAAACGTATCAACTTGTTCTCCCACTTGTCCTATGACGTTCGATGCAGCGACCACATCTTGTCAATCTTTGGCCACTACATCGACTGGCGGTGCATTATCTCAACAATCTCACGTTGCTGGTGAGCTGACCAGCTCAGCACCCCGCCAGGGCCGAATCACGCCCATTGTTTTGCGCGATGCGACCAACTACACCTTTACAAGATTAGGCATTAAGATAGAACGCGCAGTTGCCGTTGATGCGGGAATCAGGATTTTGCCGAAAACTGAGGATGACTACCGAAGAATCGTTCACCTGTTCAGGGAGGAGGACGTGCCCCATCATACGTTCCCTCTTCCTTCAGAACGAAATATTCACGCGGTAGTCAGAGGCATACCCGTAATGTTTTCGGAACAGGAGATCAAATGAGAATTAGAACAGAGGGGATATACTCCTCTCCACATTATCCGACTCAAACGCAGTGGCGGCGCACCCATGCCTTAGTGGTCGTGATACTGCGCAAGATTGAAAAGTCCCAGCAGCTGTTCAATGAACATGAGCTGCTGGGTCTAGCAATCAGAGTTGAAGTTCAAAAGAACTCTAGACTTATTGGGCACTGTCACCGCTGCCAAAGGTATGGCCATGCGCAGTGTTACTGCACAGCACCTCCCAAATGTTTAAAATGTGCTTCCGACCACATGACACATTTATGCCCCCTCACAGGACAAGAGGAGCGAAAGTATGCGAACTGTGGAGGGGCGCATCCCGCTAACAGTCCCTCTTGCAGATTCACTCCCAGGCGAAATCTGGAAGTCATAGCGCAAAGACGCAGCAACTCATACGCGGAAGCAGCCGTCTCAACATCTTCGGTTGCCCCCACTGTTCAACCCACTATGAACACGCAGAATGTGGACCTAGCAACTGCGCTTAGGTCCCTTCAACAAATAATAAGTCCCTTGATTAGCGAGACTCAGGCATTGCAGGCGATCTTTCCGCAGCAATTGAATGGCTAAGTACAATAGACAACCTGCATTTGTCATCTGTCAGGTATCTTGAAGTCATCATTGACAAGAGGTTGACCTGGCAGAAACATACTGATATTTTGAAAACAAAATTCCAAATTACCTTTCGGCAGCTTTATCCTCTGTTGTGCAGAAATTCAAAATTAAGTTTGATCAACAAGATTCGGTTGTATAAAATGGTCAAAGACCCAAAATCACCTACGCATGCGTGGCTTGGTGTTTTCTTGCCAAGACGCCCATGCATAGACTGCAAGTCCTGCAAAACAGATCCCTACGCACAATTACTAACGCCCCTTGGTACGTGTCAAATGAGACTATTCACAAAGATCTTGATATCCTATATTTAAGGGATTACGTAAAACAACAGGAGTTACAAAATAATTCGAGTAATCAAAGCAATAATGCTTAAGCTATTTAAAATGATTTACTTCTTTTCTTTGCTCTATTTCTTCCTTCCTTTCTTTCCTTCTTTCCCTTTTCCCCTTAAACATGTTTGGTATCTGGGTAGCCAGACCTGACAGGCTAACAGACCGACGAGACTTTTAACTAAGAGCAAAGGTCCACCGGACCGCTCTGACGAATAATGATGAATAGTAACCATTGGAAAGATTGCATCCATCACGTTCCAGAGACAATCGAAACAGAGATGTGGGAACTGGACAATATGATCTATATTCAAATTGAACCTGTAAGAATTAATACTAACCATTCGGATGATGATTCAAGTACTTCCAGGGAATAAAGAATTGTGAAAAGTATGTGCACTTCTTTTTATAAAAATAATCATTTATTTTGTTAGATTATTCCAAGACCATTGAGGAAAATACGGACCTGTACAATCTCGCTTTTGGTCATGTTGTGTTTTGTCTATGCATAAATGGACTACGAATGGGGTATAGTGATCACGGCACGGCACGGCAAACTTTTTTCATCTGCTGAGAGCAAATGTCCATGTGACAATTGTATAGCGGGGGCGAAAGTTTTCCGTCGCATCCCCCCAAGTCAATTCAACTTCCCCCAATTTCCTGTCGGCTCTGTTAATTCACGGAACACCACAGTTCCTGTCGTTAGCCAGCCACTGTATGAACACTATTATTGTTTAACGTGTGTCCCACATGGCAGCACCAAAAATAGTAATAACATAGCCAAAATGGGAAATTTAGCGGAAATTGAATACGGAAGTATTTTATTATTTAGAGAGTAAAAGCGATGATTTTGCTATCTGCATAAAAAAATACCGAAGTCTAAAAAGCTGCAAAAAAAAATTGTGGAAACGGGGCCATACCCGTACATTAGGAAGGTACATATATAATAAAAGTACGTATCCAACTATGTATTTCTTCTCAACCCAAATATGTGCTTCCAGTTGCAAGTTAAATGGCGGCTCAAACTTTTGTTGTTGGGTAGTAATATACAACAATGGCGAAAACGTTATGGAAATGAGCTTCATTTGAATTTCTGCAATCAGAAAAATGCCGCTTGTTTGTTTTCCAATTACGTTTAACAGTTGACATCCCCACTAGAGTATGTAATTCTTGTTTTGTTTTTCCTAAAAAGTATGCGTAATTTGACAGCGTTTCCACTCTTGCTTGATCAAACGGTAATTTATTTAATCATAAAATACAACAAACTTTTAGTTTAGTTGCTCTAAATTTGTAGTTGCAAAAGCTGCATTTCTTTGCCTTGCAGAATTCCGCAAGCTGTTTCCATATTGACGTATGGGTTTTAACGGTATTGTACGGTATTAGTCAACGAATCACTGCTAAAATGCCTCATTTTCACAATATAAGCTGACTAGCACTATTTAAGAACAATATTACAAAATTTATTGACAATAAAATCAGAAAAATTGTTTAGCGTCGTTTTCTGGTCTCCTACGAGACCACAATTACTTGTTATCAAAGGTATTGTAATTTTTGGTGACAACATCTGTCAAGTTTGGCCGCGGGTAAACTCGAAAAAACTGCTAATAGGTGCTGACATCTAGAAACCATTTTTAATTCAATATTGCGCGTTTCTGATTTGTGGAAATTAAGACGAGGGAAATAGCCTTCAAAATATTCTAGTACGTGGTTAATATCTTCTTGTGTTCTTCCAATTCTTTGCCCAAAACTACCATTGGCTCGTAAAGTCGCCACTAATCGGGGAAAAACTCTCACATCGCAAAGACGCCGATTTGGATATCGAGACGCGTAAACTCTTTTTGCTACTGCCGCATTCAAAATAAACTGCAAGCATATCAACAACTTATTCGTTCGCAAAACGCATTTGGTATGCACAAAAATTGTTCAAAGTAAGGCGAAACTATTGACAACCATTGACAATTTGAGGATTATTTATGTTTTGATTAGGTATTTCTTTTTTTGTATTAGATGGCCTGTTTCTATTAATGGTCTTTTTCGTATATACCTAAGAATGTGCATTTAAACAAAAAAAATACCTTTTACTTTTTAGCGATATTTTGTAATATTTTCAAAAAGGGTGATTTTATTCTTATGAATAAAAAGCATTTTTAGGACCACAACGTATAAAATTCTCTTTGGCCTAAATTTTAGATATCGAGATGCGGTTATTGTGAGCTTGTTTATAGTCTTTTCTACGAGTATCCATTATGGTAGAATAAACCGCTGATTATTTAGTAATATTTCAAAATTCCCCATATCGGCAAAGGACAGATAATTCTGACGGATCCGTCAATGACAGGTAGACCGAGCCATATTTTGTTTTAGTTTTTTGTACGCTACAGATTCATTTTGCACTTGCTAAAAGCTCCTTTATTTAGGAAAGTTCATTTGCATAAAAAAACAAAACGCTACAAACAGGTTTTTCTAGATTTACATCCGATTCATTATTGCCAGACTAACACGAAAATCTCACTTGCTGATCAGTTTTTCACCTCAGTAGCCATCAAAGCGTAAAATAGGGTATAGACATTTAACTAATTTTTCTTAAAAAAAAATCATACCAATGTATTTAATTTTTTTGAGATAATTAACCATGTGAAACTAACAAAAGTTCAGATATTATAACATTTTTAGTCCAAGAATAGCTTTTCTTAACTAGCTCAAGTTTGTTAAAATCGGCTCAGCAGTTTGAATACCCCCCCCCACCATATTATCTTTAGAGATACAGCAAAAACTGTCAATGAAAAAAAGTTCACATTATCCTCGACTTTAAGGATTAGGTATTTTTTTAGGTTAATATAAATGAATTCACAGAAACATCACTTTTTAAATTCAAGGCCATTCCGTATTCAATATTTTCCAGGCTTTTCTCTTAGCCATTTTAGTAATAACTGCTTTTGCTGCAAGCTCCTACGATGAATAGGTATCCAGATACAGTACCTCGTACTCTTGAAGTATCTTCTGATGTTCCACTGTACTGACCTGATGTGCCTTTTTCTATTTCATATCTTCGTGAAACGTGGAGTTTATTCAGTTTATTCGAAGTTGCAACGTTACATTTCAATTTAAAAGGTTGTAACAAGTCGTTCAGCGGATTGCAGCAACTAGCAACAGCTGCTCTAAAAAAGTAATTTTATACAGGAAACCTATATATCACTGTCGTCTATGCCGTCACGCAAAGTCATTCCATTGTACCCATATATATCTGTCTCTTGAAGATTAGATAGTAATTTTAATAGGTCTCTTGTCTTGTTTATATAGAGGTTTCTCTTACAATAAGCCAGGAAAATAATGGTTGAGGGCTAAATAAATATGACTCAACTTCCAATACTTTTTCTGTAATGGTTACAGATAATCATGTCCAAAGAAAACAAATTCCAATTAAGGTGGACATAGAACAAGAAAAGAATACAGGTAATTCACGCCCTTGTGCACGGAAGTATAAGAATATATAAAGTATAGTAAGTGACATATAAATCCGAACACCCAGTTTAAATGGTTTTATTTTAATAAAAGTTGGTGAAAGTATTTATCTTACTGTAAATAACAAGTGAAGTTTTTATACTGCTTTTTTTTTAATTCACTAACGCTCTAAAAATGAATATTTCAGCCGCAGTAAAGAATCAACGTTGGCGGATTTTGGTTCTTGACATCCTTTACGATCGGTTACGATGCCTAGAGTACGGAGACCTGTACGATTAGTGAGTTTGATAGGGGCCGTATAGTGGGACTTCGGGAAGCTGGACTTTCTTTTCGGGCAATTGCAGTTAGAGTGCAAAGAATTGTAGACACTGTGGTTAGGTGTTGTCAGGCATGGCTTCGAGAAGGCCGTACGCAAAGAGCAAGGGGCACTGGACGCCGCCGTAGAACAACAGACCGTGAAGATCGCCGCCTAAGATTATTGGCCTTAAGGGACCGTTTCTCCACTACCAGGTCCATTGCAAATTAATGGTTTGCAGAACACGGAAGACCTATTGGCATGCGAAGTGTTTACCGACGAATGAGAAGTTTTGGCTTGTTTTCATACCGGCCACACTGGGTCCTCCCTTTAACTCGAGAACACCGACGTAATCCCCAATTGAGCACGTGTGGGATATGATGGGTAGGAGACTGCTCAATTTGCAACGTCCTCCTCAGACTCTAGAAGCACTTCGAGAGGAGTTGGTGGTTGCCTGGAATGAGATACCAAAGCAGGACATTGACCACCTGATCAGAAGCATGCCTAGGCGCGTTGGAGAATGCGTAGCACATCAGGGTGCATCCACACATTATTAAAGGTCAAAGGGCTTTAAAGCAGTGCAATCATTTTGAAATTTTCATCATTTACTTATTATGCTTCATTAGGTACTTATACAAAATTTTATTAAAATAAAACCATTTAAACTGGGTGTTCGGATTTATATGTCAGTATATATTCGATAGAGCAGTAAAGTACTTATTTCAAGGACAGGAAAATTACTCATGAAATAATTGCCCTCATTTCTCAGATCCTGCAGACGCCTTCAACTAAATTTGACACTTCTTAGGATCACTTTACTTACCACGCCTGCTGCCGAGGAAGTATTGTTATCGCGAAAAATCCGAAAA